CTAGAAATATTCCATAGCCACTCTGCACGATCTCTGATCTTCCAATTCTAGTCTACTTTATAGAGAAAGATTTCACACTAACCTTATGTGTTCCATCTTCAAGTTCATTTGGGGGCAAATCAGGGTTTCTCTCCACTTGAAGATTCCAACGATCTAATTGAACAATGGCTCCATCTTCTACATGACAGAGAATTTTCGCAACAGGTTCATCAGTATATCCCTGAAGTAGGACAGACAAGTAGGCAGATGGAAATAATCAATATTTTGTCTTAATAAATGATTCATTGACTAGCCTATGGGATACTCATCAGTATTTACTCAAAAGCAACTAATTAAATCTTCATAATTCCCATCATTGGTACATGGACAAGACAAGGCACAAGAAATCCATAAAATATTATGCATAAAGTTTTAGAAATATTAGATTACACTGGGAATGAATAATAATAATAAGTCTAAGGCCAATTAGCCAACTAGCCCTGCGATGGTTGTGTTTATTTCATTTAATGGAAAAAAGAAAGGAAGAAAAGTAGAAGTGGAAACTTTCTACTCTATGCATGAAAAATAATGCACCAATTAGAAGAATATTTTTTATACATTTCCTTCCACAGTTTGGGCCTCCTCCTTCACTTTCAAGAAAAAGTGAAATGACAACCAGTCAGACCTGCACTCAGACTTACCCCTCCCCAGTTGAGAGTGCGAGCAAGATCATTCCCAGTGCCGAGTGGAAGTACAGCCACAGGAGGTTGGGGATTCAACTGTAACTCATCCAGAATGGAGAGGATCCAGCCAACCTAAGCATCAACAGTTACAAAATTGGAAGTAAATTTCTAGACCATACCGAAAGACGGATCTAACCAGAGTTTATGGTTGCAATTCTAGGCAGTGCTCTTCATTCCTGCCAATGTGTGATTCATGGAAGAGATTGATGAGGAAGGCTCCGAACATGAACACTCATGGAAATAGATGGATGAAGGAATTACAGATACAGTGTGGGGCTACCATATCTGCACTGCAAAAATATGAATGATCAGTGGACAAAGAATGAACTATATTATAGCTATAGCTTGTTTTCTCTGTGAATGATATGATATACAGTATAACACTGAACAATGTAATGCATTCTGCTTTCATCCTGTCCAAGAGAAAAGCATATAGATAGCAATAGCATTAATGATTATATAGCACCCCGTAGTGCTTTGCAGTACTCTCTGGGCAGTTTACAATGTAAGCATTATTTGCACATTGTCCCCAACAATCTGAGTCCTCATTTTACCGACCTTGGAAGGATGGAAGGCTAAGTCAACCTTGAGCCCCATCAGAATCAAATTCCAAGCTGTGAAGAGAGTTTGCCTGCAGTTTAACCAGTAGTGGGTTGCTCCTGGTTTGGACCGGTTCTATAGAACCAGTAGTAAAACTGACGGAAGGCTCCACCCAGCAACCCCGATGTCATCAGGAAGCTTCTGCGCATGTCCCCCATTGCAAACCGGTAGTAAAGGTAAGTAGTACCCACCCCTGAGTTTAACCACTATACCACCAAGGCTCTAGATGTCAATCTAGATGTCACTAACAGCATATCTATATTTCCCCCATTCCCCTCCCAACCACCAATTCATATTAGTTAAGGAAGAATATTTAAGAGAATTGCTATAAGAACAATCAGTGAGATGCCCTCCATTGAAAATTATGTGGAACAGCATCAATAAAAATGAATTGAACTGCCTTAGAGTCAGGTTTTTGGATATATAAAAATGAAAACAAAAGCCTGTTTTTCGATATATAAAACTTTGGGAGTTCTAAATATGGCTGAGTGTTGCTTTTAACATTTTAGAAAATGACTTTGTTACTTATGCTAGAAGTCATAATAAAATAATTCACAGAGACTTAAATCCTCAGGATGATATTTTAGATTTGGGATAGGATACCATCTGATTAGTTTTGAAGCTTGATGGAAAAATCTGAGGCTAGGAAGAATTTGAACTGACAATATTTCATTTATCATCAGAAAAAAAAGGTTAATTCTGAACAGGGACATGAGAAAAATCTTCTCCTTTCTGTTTCCTTTCAATAATGCAAAGTAATAAGTAGTCTTACTGAATATTCACTAGATCCATTTGAACAAGATTTTCATTTCTAAATGTAATGGCTTTTGGAACAACACAACATTAATTTCTTTCAAATATAATCTCAAGAAAGATAAATCAGGCATTGCTCATACTGATGAGACGGCACTGCCCCCATTCGCTCAACATGTGAAATGCAGGGGAAAAGATATTGAAAGCAATACATCCAGCCCCATGGCATAGATGAGCTCCAAACCCATTAAACAGATGAGCCCAGCACTCCATAAATACATTTTAGAAAGCCATCTTTGAAAAAAAGGAAGAATAAAATCAGTCAGTAGGATCCTACAAGCAGATAATAGCAATAGCATTCTTTGATTTTGACTTCAGTGTTCTCATGCTATCATGATGAACAGTTGATTATTGCAACTTAATTTGCTTGTGTGAATAGAACAAGGCAGAGATAAAAGCCCAAAATTTAAATTGTTACACACACACCACACACACACACACACACACAACCCCAATCAATAATCTGTTCTGCAAGACAAATATTGGACAAGCGTGTGTGAATGAAGTGAGTGACTAGCCCTCATTAAAATATGTTTAAAGCTTTTAATAGGTGATTTTGACTAGTTAGGATAGAAGTATTACATTCTTCAATATTATGTTATTTTTCAAGGAGAGAGACAGAGGGAGGAATGGAAGGAAGAAGAGAAGGAGGGAGACATAGAAGAGAAAGAGAAAGAGATAACTATAATCTGCAAGATTTGATTAATTGATTAATTGATTGATTGAATTTATATCTCTCTTGCATGTGATTCCAAGTAACATACTCAATTAAAACCCAAACTAACAATCAGAAAATTCAATTATTAAAGTCAATTAAAACAGTAAAAGCCTATTTTATTTTAATAATTTCACCAGCAATCATTGGTAGTACCTCTTACTGTTAAAAAGCAAAGCTAATGAAAAGGAATTGGCCTTACTGTTCCATCGCCACCACAAGCCAGGATTCGCAGATTTGGCATTTTTCTGTACAACTCAAGCCTAGTAGAAGAAAACAGAGGGTAAAAGTTTTTTTTTTTAAATCATGAAGACAGATTTTTAAAATGCCTCTGCATGATCAAGGCCCCCTAGTCAAGCATTTATTATCAGGAGCACAAATAAAAGTGGACTCACTCAAGAAACAGACATTGATTTTTCCATTCCAGCTGCTTCACTCTGGCAAAGTCAGGCTCCATTCTAAAGCCAATCCCTTTACTAAAATCAGATATGGTGAGGAAGATAATACATATTTTACAGAAGTTACTGGGTCATGTGCAGTATATGTGGTACCTCGCTCAATAGTAATAACTTGGACCTTGGAATCCTAGTGGACAATCATTTAAATATGAGCCAGCAGTGTGCTGCAGCTGCCAGAAAAGCCAACAGAGGACTAGGCTGAATAAACAGAGGGATAGAATCAAGATCACATGAAGTGTTAATACCACTTTATAATGCCTTGGTAAGGCCACACTCGGAATACTGCATTCAGATTTGATCACCACGATGTAAAAAAGATGTTGAGACTCTAGAAAGAGTGCAGAGAAGAGCAACAAAGATAATTGGGGACTGGAGGCTAAACATATAAAGAACGGTTGCTGGAATTGGGTATGTCTAAGAAGGACTAGGGATGACATGATAGCAGTGTTCCAATATCTCAGGGGCTGCCCCAAAGAAGAGGGAGTCAAACTCAATGCACCTGACAGCAGGACAAGAAGCAATGGGTAGAAACTAATCAAGACGAGAGGAGCAACCTAGAACTAAGAAGAAAGTTTCTGACAGAACTGTGGAACAACTTGCCTCTAGAAGTTGTAAATGCTCCAACACTGGAAGTTTTAAAGAAGAGATTGGATAATTATTTGTCTGAAATAGCAATAGCACTTAGACTTAAATACCGCTTTACAGTGCTTTGCAGCCCTCTCTAAGCGGTTTACAGAATCAGCACATTGCCCCCAACAATTTGGGTCCTCATTTTACCCACCTCATAAGAACGGAAGGCTGAGTCAACCTTGAGTCTGATGGGATTTGAACTGTCAAATTGCAGGCAGCCAGCAGGCAGCAGAAGTAGCCTGCAGTATTGCACTCTAACCACTGCACCACCAAGGTATTTCCTGCCTAAGCAGGGGGTTGGACTAGAAGACCTCCAAGGTCCCTTCTGTTATTCTATTCTGTTCTGTTCTATTCTATTCTATTCTATTCTATTCTATTCTATTCTATTCTATTCGTCTATGGGGGCTCCCAATCATCCAGGTCATGGTTATTTCAAAGGTGCTTTTTTTCTCAAAAGTCAACTAGACTATTTTTCTATTTCTTATTTATATTTTATTTATTTATTTATTTATATTTTTTATTTATTTATTTATATTTATTTATATTTTATATTTATAATATATATAAATATATATTATATATTAATATGTTCTATTTCCTTGTGAAAATGTTTTGCTTCTCATCCAAGAAGCTTTTTCAGTTGTAACTAACCGGTGGGAAATGGAATGATTTACATGATGTTTATTTATATGATTTATATAAATCTTTTCATTCCCTAGTTAGTTAGAACTGAAGAAGCTTCTTGGATGAGAAGCAAAACATTTTTAAAGTAAAAAACAACAACAACCCAAAGTCTAGTTGGCTTTTGATAAAAAGAAAGCACATTTGGATTCACATTTCTCAGAAAAGTACTCTGGATTCAAATCATTTTTAAAAGGCCTTCCAGAAAGAGATATACCAGTAATTAGCCAAACTTTAAAATCTTCAGGATTTGAAAAGTTAAACCCACCAATTTCAAGTGAGTCTGGAAAGCAGTTGCTAATTAATTCAGGTGGTGGGTTTTTTTTTTTCTGTATTGAATTTAATGAGCTTTGAGGCTCTTTACCAGTTAGCAGCCTAATTCACACATTTTGCACTATGTCACAAAACAGTTGCTGGGTTTAAAGCAATTATGCAAATTGACTGGCGGAATGTTACCCCAGAAATAACAAATTGTACTCTGATGCTTAAACAAAAAAAAACGACCAACAAGCTTCTCTGTGGTTCTCTTGTTTTCTGAAACTTGGCTCAGGATCTGCTAGCAATTCCCTTGGTTATGTCAAGCCTTTTTTCACATATAGACATAGTAAAAAACATTTTTTAAAAAACAAAAAACAAAATAAGGCTGTTCTGCTTTTGAAAATATCAGGAATACAGGCACATCAGATGAGAGTCAGACAATATCCAAGAGTGCCATCTTGTGGCATTAAAAACATGCTATATGGGAATTTATAGAGCAGATATTTAAAACAAGATTTTAAAAACCTTCAAACAGTATTGTGCAACACTGAAATATCTCTGTAATTTTCTTGGTAACAACAGAAACATTGCAAAATATGGCTCTCTTTTAGATTATTTGTAACTTCCCAGTCTAGGATTTTCTAATAATCTCCCATCCAAATATTAACAAGATCTGACTTTCCTTAGCATTTTGGTATCTAAGCACCTAAGCATTTCCCAATTTCAGCAACTTTAAGATGTGTGGACTTCAACTCTCAGGGTCCCTCAGGATTAAAGGCTGACCAGATCTGGGATTGCAACTCTTGGAAAATGGAGTAAAACTCTAATTAAAACTACCCCTTAAAAAACCAAACTACTGGAATTGCCCGGATCAATCATTTACTTGACATTCTTGTGTAATTTTTGTGTCCAATGCAGTCTTTCACTGCCACCTCCTCCCCATATCTTTTTAAGTGTGTCCCTTAGCTGTTCAAAATTGCCTGGTGTCCACTGAAGAGGATAATAATAAGCACAAGGAGGTATAAATTTAATTGTCACAATTGACCAGTTCAAGGGTTTACTTTCTCTCAAGTCATCTTTCTCAAGTTAATTCTCTCTGCGTTCATTGGAGCCGGCATTCCCATTACTTCCAGCCATCATGGCCAGAAGCCAGTTTATGTTTTTAATTATTAGAGATAGTAATGTTTGCCGCCAATATGTTTCAAGTTGCCTCACATGAAAATAAAGAATGACTCCAAAAGACTGATTTCAAACCGGAGTTGTTTCTTCTAGGAATGATTGATAAGAAAATGGAGAAAGGTTTGTACTACATAACATTGCATATACTAACGGTGACCAGAATTGCTCTGGCGCAAATGTGGAAACAGATCAATACCCTGAGCCGCCCTGAGTCTCCAGAGAAAGGTGGCATATAAATTGAACTAATAATAATAATACACCATCTGAAGAAATAGTAATTTAAAAAAATCCTTGAATGTGCTGAAATGGATAAAATGACAATGGAGAGTAAAGAAAGAGATGATTCGGATTACTATAAAGTGTGGAATAGATTTTATACGTGGCTAGAAAATAGAAATTAAAATAAGAAATAAGAATGTAAATTGAAATTTGATTAATTGGAATCTAAGAGTATTGAATTAAGGATAAAATATTGACTATGTTAATAAATAGGATGTAACTATATATAATAATTTAGTTTAAAAGAATGCTTAATATGGTTATACAAGATTTATTTATTTAGCATATGGTTGGTCACACACAGTATTAAAACACTTCATTTTTACAGGTTAAAAACAATTAAAACAATAAAAAAGCAGTAAGAAAACCTAAAAGGAAAACAGGAATAACATTTCAAAGTTTAATGTCGAGTTTGGTTATACAAGAATAAGTGAATGACTATGAAGATTGAATTTAAAAGTATAGATAACTGTCGATGCAGAAAGTTGTAAAATATTATATAATGTTGTTATTTACGTTTTGTATTTTACCATTTGATGTATGTGTATGTTCCTTTTTCTTTTTCTTTTTTCATTTTTTGTCTTTTTATGTTTTTGGTTTTAAAAATGTAAAATATTCAATAAAAACTATTTTTTTTTAAAAAAAGAAAAGAAAATAAAGAATGAAGGGGCAGGTCAAGCGAAACACCCCAGAACTTACGCATCTCTTGGTCCTTCCTGAGATAAGTCAAAAACCTGACGAGGATTCAAGTACCACATAAACATCTGGAGCACTTTAGTACCCTGTAAAGGACAAAAAAGGAATCAATTAACTTGTACCTCAGGCTTAAAATGCCTGATAGAGTATTTCACTAGCTTCACATTAAGAGAACTGTTACTTTAGATGTACTGGTGATGTTACCTAGTTTGGTAGTGAAATGTCCTCAAGAAAACCACCAAGTTCAGAGACTCCCCAGTTCAACCCCGAGCTGCAATATTCTCTTCTATCTTATTCTAGAACCTACTTCCAACCTTTAACTCTTTCATCAAGTTTGAGACATCTTTTTTTCTGACATACATTCTAAATCCCTTTCTTGGTACAAGCACATTCTGTGTTCGATGCCCCATATTTACCTGATTCCCTCCACTTTTTGGATTCACAAATACAAGCAAGGGTTTCATGAGAGGGGAAGAGATAGGCTTAATCACAAAAGGTCGCCCTTTGTTCTCCTAGAGAAAGAAAAGTCAGCAGAAAGTTGCAGTAAGCACATTAATTAGTGGTACAGAACTACCAGCCATAAAATACCCAAACTGCTTCTTATTAAGAAAACAGTAAATCATCATAAAGATTCAGAACATTGATTCCACACTACAGTTTGATGAAGGATAGTTAACCCCATCCTACATCCTTGTAAAATTCGATTCAAATGTCCTGAACAGTAGAGACAGGAGTCTCCACAGACAACAGTTTGGGGATATGCATTTTCAACCAAGCAGGAAATATGAATTGAGTTTGGGATGGGACTTGGGGAAGACAGGAGAAAGAATTGCTATTCTCTAAATACATGTTATATTTAGCATCAGTATAACATGCTTCTAGAATATAATGGGATATGTCAGCTAATATAACTGAAAGGGATCGGATTGGAACAGCTGTTTATGAGTATATTTCCCCTAATTAATAATCATTAGTCATTAATTCCCATAATTAATAATCATTAATCAATCATTAATCACTAAACATATTTTATTTAGCATAAGTATAATATGTTTCTAGAATAGAATGGGATATGTCTAATAGAACTGAAAGGGGTCAGATTGGATCAGCTGTGTTATGAGCATATTCCCCTAATTAATAATCATTAATTAGTCATTAAATCCCATAATTAATAATTAATCAATCATTAATCACCAAACACATTTTATTTAGCATAAGTATAACATGCTTCTAGAATAGAATGGGATAGAATGAAAGGGATCAGATTGGATCAGCTGTTTTGTTATGATCATTTTTCCCCTAATTAATAATCATAATAAATTGTTTGAAAAACTTACCTCATTTCCTCTTTTACTGACTTTCCTTTTAAAAGAAGTTCTTTTCTTCCGCCTGGTCGAATTTTTCAGTGAATTCTGTTTTGTTTTGGTTTTTTTTTTAAGAAGAGAAGGAGAAGGAGAATTTAAAAACAATAATGCCAAACAGAAGATCTCCCTATAAAAAACACCTTTGTGACAGTACCTGTGGAGAATGATACACCACCTGGGCACGCATGCATGAGTTGAAAGGACATGCGTCTCATGCTTTACATTTTCACATCACTGTTATGGAGAAAGCCACACACTAAGACCAGACTGGTACTTTCAGAACTGGAGACTTCCAATGCTGTGAGGGAGAAGAAAACTAGATGCTCCCATAGACTCACATAAGAGCACATGCTGTACCTGCCAACCCTCCCATTTCAGGTAGGAGACGCCCGTTTTCCTTCCGGGGCTCCAGTCTCCCGCCCAATCAGGTTCGTCTCCTGGTGTGGAGACCACCTATATAAAAAGGTTAAGGAGAACAAGATAAAGCCAGCTATGCTCTGGGTGGGAGGGGCTTTTCTCCTACTTCTTCTATTTAAACCAATGGCATTAACCAGTAGGGTAATTAATTATTAGTAGGTTAGGTATGTCCTCCTGTCTTGTATTAGTTGATGTGTGATATCACAGATGACTTTCTAGAGATGATGCTAAACATTTTTAGAGTTGATTCACAGACTATTGATATTAAATGTACAGGTAGTCCTCAATTAACAACAATAATTGGAATCAGACTTTCTGTTTCCAAGTAATGCAGTCATAAAGTATGACATCATGTTACTGGGCCATTTAGCAGTAGCAATTCTGACAGCCCCAATGACCAGTGGTGGGATTCAGCCAGTTCGCACCGGTTCATGAAAACTGGTTGTTAAATTACCCTGGCCCCGCTATCAAAGTGGATCCTGGGCGCTGTGCTGCAATGGAGAAATGGGTAATGGAACCGCCAGCACGAGGAAAGAAGAAGGCTGCTTTCCCTCTTTCTTCTCCCGGCACCTCCTCCTTCCCTCGTGCCGGCCGCTCTGTTTCCCATTTCTCCATTGCAGCACAGCACCCAGGATCCACTTTGATAGCGGGGGGGTGTAATTTAACAACCGGTTCACCCAGGGTCAGGTTGGTCATCGCGGGAGGCTCATATCGCATGTGCGGAGGAGCTGGAGGATGGGGATGGGCCATGCCTCCCACGACAGCCAACCTGACCCTGGGCAAACCGGTTATTTGAATCCCACCACTGCCAATGACCATTATTAGCCCACATGAGTCATTAGGCAAGAATTTCAAATGATTGTGAGTTCCTGCTGGCTTCCCCATTGACTCTACTTGTGTGAAGTTGACAGGGAGGGTCACAAATCATGATCATGTGATCACAGGACTCTGCAACATTCAGAAATTTATTTAATGTATTTTTAATGTATTTTTTTGGGGGGGGGGGAAATGCATCAAATAGGTTGGTTTAAGAAACACCAAGTTCCTGTTCAAAAACTCAGTCAAATAATCCCTATTTGCTGATTTATAATGTCAGCAATGGCTGTCAGAGGTGTGTTTCTAACAAAGTCATGACTTATAAGATATTCTATATAAGTATGAAGAACTTCAATGAAAACCTCATTGTTGCTCCTTTAAATCTTACTAGAGACATTCTCCCAATGCTGAGCTGGCTAAATTACATTTAGCATTTAACTTTATTTGTCCCTATTTTTTAAAGTAATAACCAAAAAAATAAGGGTAATGAAGACTTTAGTCTTTGTTTTAATTTTCTGGGATGCTGAGTCCCTGAACATTCCAGAATGCAAGCTGTGTGTTTCTCTTGGATAATGTTGCAAAATCACAAAACCATTTTCTCCATGTTAAAATTCCTTGAAAGTATAATGAAAATTAAAGAAAAACGCTTCTGTGTATACCACAAAGGAACAATGCAAACTATCCAATAGATGGATAACTCAAGAGTTTGCTTTTGCAAATATTTGAAATACTTTAAGGATTCAAAGAAATTGAAAATTTCAGGTTTATGAAGAAGGATTGAAGGATCTTTAGCCTTAGAAAACAATGACTGAGAGGGGATATGATGTCCCACATCAAATTTTTAAAAGGAAGGTCAAGGCCTGTCTTCAGAGTGCATGACATAGAAGAATGGTTTTAATTTACAGGAAGGAAGGCAGATTCCAAGTGAATATTGTACTTCCAGAAAGTACAAGTAATTTGACAGAGGGTTCAATTATCCAGAGAAGAAGTGCAGGATTCGCTTCACTGGATTTTTTTTCAAGCAGTTGCTTAATAACCATCTCTTGTCAATGCTTTAATTATATTTCTGCACTGTATAAGGGATCGGACAATAACTAAATGTCCACCTTCAACATTGTAATTCTATGAAAGCTATGTGGCAGAGGAATATTGTGAAAGTTATTCTTTTACATCTAATGATAAATACAGCCGTGTTATCTATAAAGAGTCACGTTTCCCCTTTTAATCATAAAATGAATACTTCTGGCATACACAACCACTTTGGTCTATTAGCCCGCATTTCTCTGCAGATCACTTGAATTGTTAATAACAGTTCCATACAGGGGGAAAAAAAACTATTCCTGATTTTTTTTCCCCACCTTATCTAAATTGATAAAAAGGTATTGGCAATATCTTTCAAATGAGAAGATTGTTTCAATGATGCTCTCATGGATAGACTACATTGCCTTCTTCAGTTAGAAGGTGACTGTTGTGGTCTACCAGCAGCCTGCGGAGCTAGCAGCGGAGTCGGACAGTGAGGAGGCTTGGGAGGAACATGGGCCAGTCCTGGAGTCTGGGGAAGGCCCTGACAAGGGCTCTGCATTGGAGGCAGAGATGGGGCCAGGGCCATCTGGGAGTGATGTGCGGACTCCGGAGCCCCCAGAGTCAGACAGCAGAGAGGCAGAGGAACAGGAGGAGCCTGTTCCTAGTGCACACATGTGCAGAGCTGCCAAAAGGCAAGAGCAGCTAAAGCAAAAGAGATGACTTGGGAGTAAGGCCAGGAGATGATTGGCCCCTCCCATAAGGCTTAAAAGAGAAACAGAGGCACTTGGGCCTTTTGCAGGAAAGCAACGTTGCTAACTCTGTTTCCAGTCGGCATCTCTTGTTTGTTTCTGAACTTTGTGGGGCTTTGCCAAGTAAGGCCTTTGGCAGGGTGTCAAAGAAGATAAAGGTTGGTGATAATCCCGAAGGATTTCTTCCGAAGGACTTGTTTGGCAACTAATTGGGACTCATCTGGGAATGAATGTAATTCTCAGCTGTTTCAATAAAATAGGTTTGTTTGGGACTAATTACTCAGTAAGCCAAGGTCACAACAGTAACCAAGTGCAGGTCTTCCTTTTTAGAATCTGCTCCCCAAGATGAAGCAGCCTCTTTGGCTTCCCATATTTCTATTAAAACACAAAGGAAAGCAGCATGCAAGAAGACTTCCCATGAGGCTTTCAGTTGTGTGGGCAGCCAGGCAGGCTTCAAAATCATGGAGAGATGTGTTACAAAAATAACCACAGCTTTAGCACCTTCTGCCATCTCCAGGTATAAAATAAGCTCAACCACATGAGGTATGTTCATGTGTCCTTAAAATAAAGTTTTTAAAAAATCAATACTTCTTTTGCAAGAAGAGAATTTCTGAGCAACCAAAAGCACATTTCAGCACAGGAACTTTGTAACAGGGCTGTGAAGCCAAATTCCCCTTCTAATAAAACTTTCAATGGTCATATTACTCCTCATTAAGGAACATTTCAAATAATCCATCGCAATGATTCCAGTTTAAGCACAAAGAAATTATTAGTCTTCCTTGGGTTATTATTCTTTCTTGGGTTACTCTATGTTTGTTTGTTTGTTGTTGTTGTTTTGCAACAATATTGTTGATTCTCTTGCAGATCCAAGATCCAAAAATTATATATTCCAGTGAAAAGTTTATTTGCGTCTACTGTCTGAAGGAGTTACCCAACTATACCTCAGGGCTCAATTTCCCACATTCATCCATGCATTTAATAGAAAGTCTGGAATCCACACAACGCTCTCTTTCATAATTTCTCTGAACACATGAACACTTTTCTCCACTCCATATATTCCATCTCTTCATAATGGAGAGAACTCAAAGTATTTCAAATCACCAAAGTATCATTTGCTGTGAAAAGGGAAAGAATTTATCACAATTCAGCAATTCCAATGGAAGACATTGTGATTTCCAGATATCTCTATGGAGCAAAGGCCCTTTTTAAAAGAAAAAAAAACAAAACCTTCCCCTAAAATCAACTTTGTTTTCATTATCTATCAATAGACGTTTAAAACAGAAGTAGATATGTTCACTCAAAGGTCCATTGAATGATATAATCTGTCAAAAATTATGAATGGCTGCTGTTTTGCTGCACTATATATATTTTTCCTAAAATAATTTAGGTTAAAATACCTGCTCAAACTCAAAAATGGCAATCCTACTAGTAAAAAAAATAATAACTGCTCTATAGGTTGCAAGCATATTAATTGGAAACCCTGGTAAAAAAAAATATCCCAAGTTCCAAGGCAGTAGATGAGAATGTGACTTCTGACACAACATTTTATGAGAAGTCCCTTCACCACATTCTCCAGTTTGGAGAAAAATAATGTTCAATCCAGAAGACCACAGACTGAATCAAGAGCAGTAGTGGTATTCAGCCAGTTCTATGCGGTTCGGGCAAACTGGTAGCGGCGGCTGTGGGAGGCTCCGCCCACCCACCCGATGTCATTATGTCCCATTTAGCCATGTTTTTGACTCTCTGCGCATGTGCAGAAGGCCCTGCACATGCGCAGAAGTGGCACCTGCAAGCGAAGCGAGAGAGAGAGAGCGCTCACATTTGCAAACCAGTAGCGGGACATAAGTGAATACCACTCCTGATCAAGAGACTTATAAAGGAACAAACTGGAGTTGAGCAACTGTCTCATTAAAGCAGACCAAGGATCAGATGGAAAACCTGAACTAGCTTTACATGAACCATGGCCACTTTCCAAACTGTACAGTTTGAAAAGCCTGTTCATTTGACTTCAACCACGTTTCCTGTGGGATCTGATCATGCCCGCTTCTGCTTCTGGCTACACCCACTGCTCAAAGGCTGAACCTGGAAATCAGTTTTCATTTGAGATCCTCAACCCAGAAATGATTTCTCCAGATTCTTAAGATGATTGTTTAACAATCCTGTTAATACCATGTGTATATTTAAGCTACTCCTTGGAAGGTAGAACTGGTTGCTTTGGTTGCCGCCATCTCCAAGTTCTAACATTTTACTCTTCCAGATTTAAGATAGTTACATATAATAAAGTTTTAGAAAACATTATCTGGAAAGAGAAGATAATGTCTTATAGCAAATAGGGGTATTAGCTGATGGTAGCCAAAGGCAGGATAGCATGTTTTCCCCACAGGAATACCAGCAGTCTTCAGCCAGGTGAACCAATCCACGCTGTCAGAACAGGCAGAAGCATGCTGTTACCTGAGGCTTCTTCACCTTAATGATCCAGGTGGGGGGAACAATAACAGCAGCGTGAGCTCCTAGGGAACAAGGCTCCTCAATGTGCTGCAACAGGAAGCAGGTGACTTTATTGTGAAACTAAAGGGGAAGAAAAGCAGAGGCCTCTGTGAAATGAAGAGTATGGAGAAGGGCAAAGGTGAGAAGGGGGTGGGGGAAAACAAAGACATCAGCATTAGGAAAAAGACACATTCCGATCTTCCTTTTTCCTTGCCTCACAGCATTTTAGGCCCAAAGAATGCATCTCTTTAAAAAGAAGAGCAACCAGGATGATTAGGGGACTGGAGACTAAAACATACGATGATGAACGGTTACATGAACTGGGCATGGCTAGTCTAGTGAAGAGAAGGACCAGGGGAGACATGATAGCAGTGTTCCAATATTTGAGGGGCTGCCAGAGAGGAAGGGGTCAAGCTATTTTTCAAAACACCCGAAGGACAGACAAGAAATAATGGATGGAAACTGACCAAGGAGAGATTCAACCTAGAAATAAGGAGAATTTTTCTGACAGTGAGAACAATCAAGCAATGGAACAGCTTGCCTTCGGAAGTTATGGGAGCTTCAACACTGGAGGCTTTCAAGAAGAGATTGGATTGCTATTTGTCAGAAATGGTGTAGGGTCTCCTGCTTGGTGGTGGTGGGGGGGTGTTGGACTAGATGACTTACAAGGTGCCTTCCAACTCTGTTAATCTGTTACCAAACTGTTTTGTCCACACAGAACATGTTTTGTATTGAGAGCACGGTGGGGTCCATATGAAAAGAACGACATGTGGAATTCATATACATGAATATGCTGTATGTGAATTATGTTGCTTTGCATTCTTTCAGCCCAGATTGCAACTGGCACAATTATCCTAACCATAAGATATCTCCCAAGCCACTTTTTCTTTTTATATTCCCCAAACAAGTGCGTAGCCAATCATGTTTTGGGGTGAATGATGGGCTCTAATTCAATAACTCAATTCCTATTTATATGCCTAATAAGTACATAATGCAGACGACACAAAGGTGTGTGACAGAGTTGATGCTCCTGGGGTCATTCGTAACCAGTGATGGGTTGCCCCCGGTTCGCACCGGTTCTATAGAACCAGTAGTAAAACTGGTGGGAGGTTCCGCTCACCGACCCTGATGTCATCAAAATGCTTCTGCGCATGCACAGAAGAGCGCGCGCATGTGAGCGAAGCGGGCACGCGCACACGGCCCCACTACAAACCGGTAATAAAGGTAAGTAGAACCCACCCCTGTTCATAACACAGAAAATGATTTGGCATTGCTGGAAAATTGATTCTAAAATGTGGAAAATTGCAATTCAGTGTTTCTAAATGTAAGATCATGCGCTTGGGAAAAAAAGATTCCTTTGTCAGGTTACAGTATTGGGGGCTCCAGTGTTATAAGAAGAGAAGAAAAGAATTTAGGTGTGTTCATAACAGATGACTGCAAAATGCATTAGTAATGCATTTTTGATGCATTACTAGAGGGATCACCAGCAGGAAAAAGGAGAGCCTAATCCTACTATATAGGGACATGGTGGCTCAGTGGCTAAGACGCTGAGCTTATCAATTAAAAGGTTGGCAGTTCAGCGGTTTGAATCCCTAGTGCCACATAACGGGGTGAGTTCCCGTTACTTCTCCCAGCTTCTGCCAAACTAGCAGTTCGAAAGCATGTAAAAATGCAAGTAGAAAAATAGGGACCACCTTTGGTGTGAAGGTAACAGCATTCCATGTGCCTTTGGCATTTAGTCATGCCTGCCACATGACCATGGAGACGTCTTTGGACAGTGCTAGCTCTTCGGCTTTGAAACAGAGATGAGCACCGCCCCCTAGAGTCGGGAACAACTAGCACATATGTACAAGGGGAACCTTTACCTTTTCCTTTAATCCTACTATATAGCATTTTAGTCAGACCCCATTTAGAATACTGTATCTAGTTCTGAAGACCTTACTTTTTAAAAAAAGGTTTTGTTAAGATTGAGCAAGTCCAGAGATGGGCAACACAAATGGTGCAAGTTGTGAGGGACAAAACAATATCAGAAGATATTAAGGAACTGAATATTCATTGTATAGGCTAGAGGACAGAAGGAAAAGTGGGGAATGTGACTGAAACCTTTAAATATGTTAAAGGGATCTAGTAGGTAGTTATTTTCAATATTAAGCAAAAATCAAGAACATGCATAGCCTCAAACTGACAGGAGGGAAGTATAAAGGTAATATTAGAAAGTATTATTTCAAAGAAAGAATAATGAAAGCTTGGAACCAACTTCCAGCAGGAGTAATGGGTCAATCATCAGTAACTGAGTTTATACATGCTTGGGATAAACAAATGTCCATTATCTGGCAATAAAAAAAAAAATAGAAGACACAAAGGATAGACTAGGTCTTTTTCTGCCATCATCAGTTTTCTATGTTTCTATAAGAGGAAGGAAATGGGGAATAAAAAGTATAATGGACTCTACCCATCGGCTAAAATTTGTAGCATCACTTTGAGAAAATGACTTACCGCTTGCTTGCACCATGAACAGCTGATAGCCACAATCTCTTTACTATGAAAGGAGAATTTTTGTTGAAATCCCTGAAATAACAAGAGTTTGTTGCATCACCAATTAACATTTCACATAATTTTTTTTCCAAATAGAATTGAGGCTGTTAATGGCTAAGACATATCTCTAATAGTCACATGATATATGACAGTAGCTAAAGTTGAGGCTTTGATGATACCTTTACTTTCCAAAGTCATCTCAAAAAGCTCTGCTTAAGGTCTGTCAAAACTTTTGAAATAATAGCTTACTGTATTCTGTATTCTGTATAGAATACATAAATATTCTATATTCAATATAGTAGGGATGACGACTATATTTTATCAAGCTGAGCCTCAAGCTGATGTAGACCAATCCATCAATTTTCTGGATAGAAATGAGATATACAGTAACTCCAATAGAAGATAATATACAGTATGCAGCTGAGAGTTGAACTGTGGAGACTTTAATTCTTTCTGAGCTTGGTTGTTTGTTTGCAGACATTTCAGTACCCGATAAGGTGACATAATCAGGGGTAGGAATGTGATGTTTGCTCCCTGTTTATATATACATGCCAGTGTTGGTGGGGTAATCGTTTTTGGTAGTTCCTTGCTTAGGTTACTGTTTACTGCTTGATAGTTTGTCTTGTGTTGATCTCTTTTTATCTAGGTTGTAAGCTGCTGGAGATGATGTGATGAGAGTGTATGTTATTATTATCTGCCACAATCATGTGTAAGGGTTTGTGGGTTTGTTGGGTTGTTGGTTTGCTTCCTTGCTTATTTGGTTTTATATAAAATGTCTTCTTTTCTAAATTTTTATTTATTAAGCTTGATTGTTGTATGCCACCCAGAGTCACAAATTGGGAGAGAAGATGTTTTAACAAATCTCTGATTTTTTATTCATTCATGCATTCGTTTGTTTGTTTGTTCATTCATTTATCAATCAAATTTATTTGGTGCCCATCTTGCAGTTCAAGGCTAAATATATTGTGGGATATACACAATATATTGTGGGAGCTTCATCACTTGAGACTTTCAAGAAAAGATTGGACTGCCATTTGTCAGAAATGGTGTAGGGTCTCCTGCTTGAGTGCGGGGTTGGACTAGATGACCTATAAGGTCCCTTCCAACTCTGTTAATCTGTTAATATATATCATTGTTTTTATATATATATAAAAAATACATTTACATTCATGCTTCTACCCAGAACACCGTGCAAAAATTTATAACTAATTCAAATAGCTCCATTCAAATATCCCTTGGCAGAAACAAATACCCAAGGAATCAAAAACAAGAAGTTCTCAAACTGCAGTGCCTACTTTTGATTTGCCACTGCCATGGTTCTATAAATCAAGAAAAGTATCCCAATTAGCAACATTAAATCAGAAGAAGTGGGTTATGGAAACTAGAATACTAAGATACAACCTTAGTGTAAAGGTTTCAGACCAGATTTATATGGTTGCCCATCACACCAAGAGCAACTCTGGGTAGCATAAAACAATCATGGTTGCACTGTTTATAATATGTTTGCACCATTAGAAGCATCTCCTCCATTGATTTAGGATTTCTGATAAATGATCGAATTAGATCAGGGGTTCTCAAACTTTTTAAACAGGGGGCCAATTCACGGTCCCTCAGACTGTTGGGGGGCTGGACCGGCTGGGTGGGTGTGGCTAGGTGGTCATGTGACTGGGTGGGTGTGGCCAATTTAGCAGTCCATTAAACAATACACACAAATTAAACTTTAATTTGTTATCCTCCTGGGAGTAGAAAGCAGGTTAGTGAAGGGATGTGGCTGCCTTGGGGGCGGGTGAGGGACTTCTGTTTGTGTGTGTGTGTGTGTGTGTGTCTCTCTCCCTCCCTCTCTCTCTCTCTGGAGGCTGGGGAGGGTAACAGTACTCCTCTAGTACCACTCCAGTACCACTCTGCTGCCCAAAAATGGGTCCTGAGGCCTCCACGCATCCCATTTTTGGCCTTGGCCTCCAGAAGGCAGGTGGGGGCTGGTGGGTAGGTGGGGCGATGTGGGCGGGGCAGCCTCATGGTCCTGCGCGGGCCAGATTAATGGTTTTGGCGGGCTGTATCCAACCCACGGGTCGTAGTTTGAGGACCCCTTAATTAGATACTTGTGTTACTGGCCATGCTACAACAACTAGTTATGGCATGTTGTAGTTTTTAATATTGGACTTCATGCACACAGTTAATGCTTTAGAACCTTCAGTTATCGCTCCTAGCAGTTATCGCTCCTGTATAACACAATTTATTATCTTCTGCTAATTCACATTAACACAGTTTGGTTTTGGGGAATTCAGTGAATGCATCTCAGAAACTGCAGCAACTATATAATTGGTACATGTTGAGGATCAAAGATTTGGGCTTTTTTAAGAGTAAGAAAAAGATGATGAAATTATCTAGTTTATTACAAAAGTAATAATTTAAAAAATGACTTGAGAGGAATGAATGATGTGAAAAATAAAAGATACTGCTCAGAGATAATAGAGCCGTTATTCTTTTCTGCAGGTCTGACAAATTGCTTCTTCTTTTTTTCAGATTTGTTAAATAGAGAACTGGAGAAACAAAGAGCATTAAATATGAGTTTACATGGAAACAGTTTTTAAAAGTCCCAGAACCTGATGTTTTTGAGTATCAGATTGCTCAGATATTGTTGGAGATTAAGATCTGGAACGATCTGCCCCCGGAGATACGAAGGATACCAGATCTCCGGGCCTTTCGCCGTGCCCTAAAAACTTTTCTTTTCCATCAAGCAGGGCTGGCGTGACCCCCCCCCCTTTTTAGCTTTTTAAGTGTAAATTGGGTTTTAATTGGATTGTTTTAAATTGTGGGCCAAAGCTGTATAATTCTGTTAATTGATTTTAAATTTTGTATTGGTATGTTTTTTATCCTTGGCTCTGCACCGCCCTGAGTCCAATAGGAGAAGGGTGGTATATAAATTGAATAAATAATAATAATAATAATTTCCAAATCTTGAACCGATAACATTCTTGAATGTGCCAAATAATATCAATGCACTGTGATAAGGCTAATATGTCTGAGTTGCAAACATTTTAACAGCCACTAGATAGCAGTAAAGAGGCACTGAAAAAAATATTGATTCTAACTTTGCTGTCACCTGCTGGTCATCTGAATTTTTTGCAGCCCAGGTAATGGCTATAGCAAAGGTGGGTAAATATTTGGCAGCCAGAGGGAAACCCTTCAAAATTTGTTAGGCAGAAAAGGAATGGCAAAAACTATCTAAAGTCATTAAAATCTACAGTACAGCCTTCAATTTTAATATCTTAGCAGGAAAACAAACAGAAAAAGCAGGACAGAAAAACCTTTAAAGAGGCCAATTATGTTGCTAGAAGAAGAGATACCTGAAGACTAGAACTTATAATTACTTTTTTTTTACAGATTTTGATGGCATTATTTCTACCTTTCCACATTGTTTACATTTCCCTTCCTGTCGCCTTCTGTGAACCCAGTGATGTCGAACAAAATTCTGTAGAATAGGGAAACACAAGCAAAAAATAGAATTAATTTAAAATACATTCCAACCAAATCCCAATTCTATACAACCTTGATACAACTCACCTATAAGAGAGCAAAGACATTGGCAAAAGATAATCATACATAATAAGATGTTCTGAAGCACATAGGGAGATCTTTTATAGTGGAAACTTGCCATGATTCTGAAAAGTGGTTAAAACCTGGAATCTTCCAATTGTAATATCTCTTAAAGCCATTGTAATGTTTAGACTTAGGTCTAGGCCCGTGATGGTGAACCTATGGCACCATATCAGTGGGCATGCGAGCTCAGCTCCGGCACACATGCGCACACCACCCAGCTGATTTTCGGGTTTTCTGGGCCCACCAGGAATAGGGAAACACATTGTTTCCTGCCTCTGGAGGGCCTGGGGGGGTGGGGAAGGCCTGTTTTTCTTTCTCACCTGGCTCCAGGGCCTCTCTAGGAGTCTGGGGAGGGCAAAAACAACCTTCCCCACCCCCCTGGAGGACCTTTGGAGGCCAAAAATGGCCCATTTAACAACTTCCAGTGGGACCGGAAGGCCCGTTTTTTGCTGTCCCCAGCCTCCAGGGCCTCTCTAGGAGTCTGGTGAGGGCGAAAATGACCTTCCCCCACTCCCACCCCCGGAGGTCCTCCAGAGGCCGAAAACAGGCCATTTGACAACTTCTGGTCCCACCGTAAACTATTAGGGTGGTGCTGTCTTTACCCTTTTTCTATCTGTAGAAGAGCAGGCAGAGCTGGGGGGCGGAGTTAAACATGTCATCAGCTTAGAGTCCTTACATTGCCACAAACAACCCAAATCCAACTCAACAATTTAACATTGAACTTTAGTTGACTGGATTCTTGTGTATAGCCTTGAATAAATCTTCCATGTTGAAACTCAACAAATGATCCTGATCAGCGGTGAAATGCACTTACTTTCGCTACTGGTTCAGGAGTGTGAGTGTGCACGCCTCTTCTGCGCATGTGCAGAGCCTTCTGCACATGCACAGAGAGTCAAAAACGGGATGTAATGATGTCCTGGCGGGTGGGGCATCGCCAGCACTACCGGTTCGCGCAAGCCGGATAGATCCAGCCAGATTTCACCGCTGGTCCTGATCCTTTGTGCCTGACACTGTCACACATAATATTCAGACTGAGATGCTTCTTACTCCTCTGGAATGCACCCCTCCCTTTTGGGAATCCATCTTCTTATTTCAGGGGTCTGTAACCTTAAACACTCAAAGAGCCATTTGGACCTGTTTCCCATAGAAAAGAAAACACCGGGAGCCACAAAACCCTTCCCGTGCCTGACTATTTCTTGAGCAGCCACAAAACTAGCATATATAGTTGAATTAAACGTTCTGTTTTCTTCTGAAACTTTTTTTTTTCTTGGATTTATCCATGGTTGGCCTACTGGGAGTTGAAAAGCTCAATAAATTGTATGCCGGCAGGTGTCGCACATTGGCGGTTGTGACACATATTTTGAGTGACAGGGATCCGCAGCAGAGGGGTGAAAGAGACACATGTGACTCCAGAGCCGCAGGTTGCTGACCCCTGTCTTATTTCATTCCATCACACTCAGACTCCTTAGTGATGAGTGTCATTCAGGTAAGGCTACATGTATCATTCAAAGACAATCTGTCTCCTGCCACTTACCTCTCTTGGAGATCTAGAACTGCCTTCTCGAAAAGTTGGCTTGCACCGGAAGTTAATCTGTCAGGAGGGAAGCAAACCAAGAGACCAAACAGTAATGATTAGCAAACTGTCTCTAGATCAATGAAGCAGAAAAATCCACAACAAACCTCACAAATTGCTCCAGACTACGATAATTCCCCAAACTAACTTGGCTCTGTGTTACAAATTATTATTTCCTCAAGTTTGTTATTAGGGATAATAGAAGCAATGAACCAGAAAGCCAAAATAAAGTATTGAAGGCAAATGAGAAAGCAAAGGACCATATTTGGTTTGATAGCTACATTTAAGTGGCAGATTTTCAAAGCAATTTGCAAATCATTTCTAGGCAATTCAAAATTATGTCATTTATATTGCAGAACTCAAGTGCTCATAGTGCCAGAAAACAGATATATGGAAGTGTGAAATGACTTCTTTATGAAAAGCATAAAGAAATATTATTGACATGCAGTAGTTATACTATATTTGATGTGATAAATGGAATGCAGTTTTGTATGAATGTATTGAACTTTTCAGTTCTCCAAGCATTTTTAAAGCAAGGATATCATGAACACAAAAAAGAGGAAAGGAATTAATGCACTAACTCTATTTTCCTCTACCACCTCCATGTGCAGAGACCATGAGAGAGAATATCCTTCTTCTATAGAAATTCTCAATGTAATTTCAAATTGCATTTTGTGGGGCATAACACTAAGGGAAGAAGCACACTTCTTTCTGGTGTCTCTCTTTCCATGTACAATATTTATTCCACACAAATGCTTACACAGGTACACTTCAAACTAGGTAAAGGTAAAGGTCCCCCTCGCACATATGTGCTAGTCGTCCCCAACTTTAGGGGGCAGTGCTCATCTCCGTTTCAAAGCTGAAGGGCCAGCGCTGTCCGAAGAAGTCTCCGTGGTCATGTGGCTGGCATGACTAAATGCCAAAGGTGCACTGAACGCTGTTCCCTTCCCACCAAAGGCGGTCCCTATTTTTCTACTTGCATTTTTTTGTACGTCTTTTTGAACTGCTAGTTTGGCAGAAGCTGGGACAAGTAACGGGAGCTCACCCCGTTATGCAGCACTAGGGATTCAAACCGCTGAATTGCCAACCTTTCAATCGACAAGCTCAGTGTCTTAGCCTCTGAGCCACTGCGTCCCTTCACTTCAAACTAGAAGTGTATGTAATGGGAGCTACGAATACATTCTTTGTCTTTGGTTAACAAGGCATTTTTCCAGTACTCAGTGCCACTTGATTCCACTGCTTTTGCCACCCGTGGCCATGTCCAGTATCTGGTGTGGGATGCAAGCATGTACATGGGAAGAGTCACTCATCTGGCTTCACAATCGTGAAGCCAGATTTCCCAGGTGGATGGAGAATGCCTCCATGCATAAATGTAGTGTCTTCTTTTGTAATATGTTCAAAGCATGACAGTCTGAGACACTGACAGGAGGACACCAGTTCTCCAGAACCTGTCAGAACCTACTGGATTTTACCCCTGGTTTAAGGGAGATTTAAATAATGAGCTGGCCATGAGTTTTCCTCATAAACTAATCTAGATTAACATAATTTATGAAGAAAAGAAAACCCACAGCCATATTAAAACCTCACTTAACTGCGTGGCAATAGCTGATCTAGAGTCCTTTATGACTATATTCATGATGACGTCGGTAACAAATTTGTAGGAGAAGATATTTGTTATTTCTGCTAAAGGTCATCAAGAAAATTGGACCAATATGGCTTTTTAGAACTTGAAGTTTCTTCTCTGCCTAGCAATTTTTTTAAAAAAAATATCCGTTTTGATGACACAAACACACATCTGCAACGTAGACGAGCGTTTACAATTAAGGCATCCCTTCATGCAACTGACAAAATTAGCTATTGAAAATAAAAACCTAGAACACAATGTATTCATTACTCTTTCATATGCCACAAATCTATTTGTTCTTGGTAATCAAAACAAAATAGAATCAAACATGGCTCTTTGGTGATGTGTACAATTACCAGGATTGCTTCTTTTTTGTAAATAAAAAAAAAATTGCCTTTATTCTTGCCTGCTCCACAAAGCTTATACAACATTTATATGTAATAGAGACTTGTATTTTCTTTTAAATCAATTAAAAATCAGGCTCTGTTTGCAGCACGATAAAAGGCCCTGATTTCTGGCATGCGATTTCATTAGGAAAAGGCTCATTTGTGACATTATACTCAACCTGTTCATCACTATGCAAAAAATAATAATAATGTACCCAAAACAAAATTATTCTTTAAAATATCACAGGACATTGTTCTCCTTGCAGTAAATAGAATCTGGTTACTCTCCTACAGTGGAAAGTCTGTAGAGATTCTCAGTCATCCATGTCATGGTTGTCCCAAAGGTGCTTTTTCAGGAGACAACTGGACTTTCTTGTTTTTACTTTTGAAGACGTTTCGCTTCTCATCCAAGAAGCTTCTTCGGCTCTGACAGGATAGTGGGGAATGGAAGGATTTATATTCCTTGCAGACAGCTGGTAATCTGCATCAGAGGTGAAATCTACTTACCTTCCCTACCGGTTCGGAAGTGCGAGCGCATGAGTCAAATGCGATTTTGGACCCTCTGTGCATGTGCAAAGCCTTCTGTACATGTGCAGAGGGTAAAAAACAGGTTACTTCCTGGTTAAAACCAGGAAGTAAGGGTGTCCGGGCGGGTGGGCGGAGCCTCATGCTGCCGTCACTACCGGTTCTCCGAACCACCCGCCATCACCCCAGCAGTTCAGCTGAACCGGTCTGAACCTCTAGCATTTCACCCCTGATCTGCATCCTTTTAATGACCCTCTAAAGCAACCGTCTATAAGAATGCAGATTACCAGTTGTCCGTCTGCAAGGAATATGAATTCTTCCATTCCCCACTATCCTGTCAGAGTTGAAGAAGCTTCTTCGATGAGAAGCAAAATGTCCTCAAAATTAAAAACAAGAAAATCCAGTTGCCTCCTGAAAAAGCACCTTTGGGTCTTCTGCAGTTGATTGCTACCAGAAGATATATCAGAATATCTTTTTCATATTTGCCGATGAATACAGAATAATCACAGTAAAGAAATCTAGCAATTGCGTTATAGAAGAAAACATCATATAAATGTGTTAACTCATTATCTCCCTCTATATTTTAGATGAATATCATTGCTTATTTATCTCAAACTGGGCTTGTCTCTACCATTAGGCGAATGGACCAAAGCTAAAAAAGTACGAATGGTCTAACTGTTTGGTCTATATCAGGGGTGTCAAACTCACGGTGTCACAGTGGCGTCACATGACATATCAAGACTTTTTTTCCCCCTTCGCTAAACTGGGCGGGGCCAGCACATGATACATCCGTCCCGCGGGTCACGAGTTTGATACTCCTGGTCTATATGGTCTGCTCTGCAACACAAAGTTGTCTGTCTTTGGGCCAGTGGAAGATATTATATTATAAGTTAATTAACTTCACCAATATTAAATTAAAGGTTAATTAACTTCACATCCAGTTAGCTTTTGTATGTGAGGGGTATTGACACCTTGTCCATTACTTTCTATACCCTGACCAAATAAGAGGTGCAGGGAAACACCGTCGTTTACAGCACCCAAAGGAAAAATGGTATGTGAGAGTGACCTTGGGAAACAAGAAGAAGTGCCACAGACTAGGCAGCAGTCAGATAAGAGGCAGCTGAGCCCCCAGAAGAAATGAGAGTATGGCAAAGATCTCAGAAGGTACTCTTCTTAGTTTCTTGGACTGCAAAGATGAGGGAGGAGACATGTGCTCTCAAACTTACAAAATTCTGTTAATTAATCTTACAATAGAGTTGGTACTGATGGATGGACTACCTTGAAAGGATGACAAAAAAAACAGAAGAATTCAATAAAAAATGAATAGTGTAGAATAGAATAGAATAGAATAGAATAGAATAGAATAGAATAGAATAACAGAGTTGTAAGGGACCTTGGAGGTCTTCTAGTCCAACCCCTGCTTAGGCAGGAAACCCTACACCACTTCAGACAAATGTTTATCCAATATCTTCTTAAAAACTTCCAGTGTTGGAGCATTTACAACTTCTGGAGGCAAGTTGTTCCACTGATTAATTGTTCTAACTGTCAGGAAATTTCTCCTTAGTTCTAAATTGCTTCTCTCCTTGATTAGTTTCCACCCATTGCTTCTTGTCCTCCCGCAGGTGCTTTGGAGAATGGATTGTCCTCTTCTTTTGTGCAGCCCCTCAAATATTGGAACACCGCTATCATGTCTCCCCTAGTCCTTCTCTTCATTAAACTAGACATAATCAGTTCCTGCAACCGTTCTTCATATGTTTTAGCCTCCAGTTACCTAATCATCTTTGTTGCTCTTCTCTGCACTCTTTCTAGAGCCGTGATGGCGAACCTATGGCACGCGTGCCACAGATGGCACGCGGAACCATATTAGTGGGCACGCCAGCTCAGCTCTGGGGTGCATGCACGCACCGGCCAGCTGATTTTCGGCCTTCTGGGCCCACCAGAAGTAGGGAAATAGGCTGTTTCCTGCCTCTGGAGGGCCTGTGGGGAAGGGTGGGGAAGGCCCGTTTTTCTTTCTTACCTGGCTCCAGATCCTTTCTATGCATCTGGGAAGGGCAAAAACAGCCTTTCCCACTCCGCTGGAAGCCCTACAGAGGCTAAAAGGGCATTTCCCAACTCCCGGTGGGACAGGAAGTGACTTTTTTCCTGTCCCCAGCCTTCAGAGACTCCTAGAGAGGCTCCTAGAGACTCCTAGAGAGGTTCTGGAGGCTGGGGACAGCAAAAAATGTCACTTCCTGTCCCACCAAGAGTTGGGAAATGGGCCCTTTCAGCCTCCGTAGGGCCTCCAAGGGAGTGGGAAAGGCTGTTTTCACCCTTCCCAGATGCATAGAGAGGATCTGGAGCCAGGTAAGAAAGAAAAACGGGCCTACCAGGCCATCATGTGCCAGGAGTGGGGGGGGGTTGCATAAGCATGCGCATGGGCACGTGCGCATGCGACCCTCCCCCACCCCCCCTCTCCTGGCACGCAATGGCAAAAAGGTTAGCCATCACTGTTCTAGAGTATCCACATCTTTTTTTTACATTGTGGCAACCAAAACTGAAAGCAGCATTCTAAGTATGGCCTTACCAAGGCATTATAAAGTGGTATTAACACTTCACGTGAACTTGGTGTGTTAATACAACTTTATAATGCCTTGGTAAGGCCACACCTGGAATTATTAGTCTATTAGTTGTATTAGTCTACTGCAGGGGTCCCCAACTGCCAGGCCGCAGCCCACTACTGGGCCATTAGCCATTTGGAACTGGGCAGCAGAAGCAGCAGGTGAGCGTGCAAGCATGTGCATGCATCCCCACATGCACGAGCAGCAGGCAAGAGTGTGCACACATACCCGCTGCTCGTGCAAATGGAGCTGCGTGCGCACATGTGCGTTTGCCGGCCATTCAGGTGGAATCATCCCCTCTTCCTCCCCCCCCGGTCCTCAAAGCCAGAAAGGTTGGGGAACTCTAGTTTATTGTGTCAAAAGATTATGAGGGGCACCTTTTTCAATGGATATATTTCATTTTTAAAAAGCGTAAGATTTTCATCAGATGCATGGACGGATAGAAAAATGGATTTTTAACACAATATAATTACTAATGGATACAATGGTAATTTTTCTCACATATAGCCTGCATCCACATAAGCAACCGTCTTCTCCGCTCTTTCTCTCTCCTCCCCCCCCACCCCGTCCCCCCATTTTTGCATCTGACAGAAGTGAGCTGCGGTTTACGGCTTTTAATAAAATGTGTGAGTCAGAAAAGGTGCTACCAGATTCTTTGTGTAAAACTGAATTCAGGTTACAGCCATGGTGACTGTTGTAAACGAGGGGGTGGAAACTGGGCATACAGAATGGTTGCACTTTAACCTAACGCTCACTTTAGATGTTGTTTCAATTTCTAAAACAAATGATTTTGTTGAAGTCTGTTCTTTGCCATATCTAGACCAGCAGGTGGCATCATCTTATACCTTTTCCAGTTGCTCCATGCAGGCGTTGTGGACCACAATCTTGCAGGCAGCACATTTTCTTCGAACAGCGGACTTCTGAAACATTAACAGAAAAAAAAAACAAAGCAAAGGGAAGTGTCCATTTGTCTCAGAAGATACATGTATAGTAAACATTCTGTGTTCTTAATTACTTTATACTCAAAATACATATGCAAAAATGACAACATATGTCAATAACAAAATGTTGTTGGTGACTTAAAAGGTAAAGGTTCTCCTCGCACATATGATGTAGTCATTCCCGACTCTGGGGGGGGGCGAAGCTTGTCTCCGTTTCAAAGCCGAAGAGCCAGCGCTGTCCGAAGACGTCTCCGTGATCATATGGCCTGCATGACTAAATGCCAAAGGCGCACGGAACGCTGTGACCTTCCCACCAAAGGTGGTCCCTATTTTTCTACTTGCATTTTTACGTGCTTTCAAACTGCTAGGTTGGCAGAAGCTGGGACAAGTAATGGGAGCTCACCCCGTTTTGCGGCACTAGGGATTCGAACTGCCGAGCTTTCAATCGACAAGCTCAGAGTCTTAGCCACTGAGCCACTGTGTCCCCTATGACCAACTAGTTACCAACTGAGTTACCAACTGAGTAAGTTGGTGACTTACTCAGTTTTTATTCTTCTTGCCAGACAAAAAGAGCAAAGTTTTGCTATGATTTTTCTCTCTCTCTCCCTCTCCCTCTCCCTCTCTCCCTCCCCTAATTTTTCTCCAGAAAAACTGCCCTGTGAATTTACTTGTATAACATGATAGTGCCTGGCTCAAACTAACTCATTGAATTTCTATGGCTGATATGAATTTTGCCTACACTTCCAAGTTCTAAAGTGACTACTACATCACACTGGCTAACAGCAAATGAAATGAAACTGTGAAAATTATTCCTATTGGTGAATGGTCTGGTGAATGCAGAGTAAATCTGGCCCCTTCATCTGAACTTGAAAGTGAAGACACACAATAAAAAAGATTTCATGCAATAAAAAAGATTTCAAATCAGAGCACACAACAACAGAGGCACTTTAGGTGAAGGAAAACTTTCTATCTGCCATCTCAAATCAAGTATAATCACTACTATGTAGGTTGATGTATTTTAAGGAAGAAATATTTCAGAGTCCCTTTGCTAAATGCCCTGCTTTTGCATACTGGCTTGGGCATTTTTCCTAAAATAGTTAAATCAAGAAATATCCACTGGAAACTTGAGGGCAGACTTAGAAATATGTAAATGTATTTATTCGCAACCTAGTATTAGCTGAGCAACTTCTGTGATGACTGTGAGAGGGATCTTGGAGTCCTAGTGGACAATCACTTAAATATGAGCCAGCAGTGTGCAGCAGCTGCCAAAAAAGCCAACACAGTTTTTGGCTGCATAAACGGAGGGATAGAATCAAGATCACGTGAAGTGTTAATACCACTTTATAATGCCTTGGTAAGGCCACACTTGGAATCCTGCATCCAGTTTTGGTCACCACAATGTAAAAAAGATGTTGAGACTCTAGAAAGAGTGCAGAGATGAACAACAAAGACAATTAGGGGACTTGAGGATAAAATATATAAAAAACGGTTGCTGGAACTGGATATGTCTAGTCTTATGAAAAAAAGGACTAGGGATGACATGATAGCAGTGTTCCGATATCTCAAGGGTTGCCACTAAGAAGAGGGAATCAAACTATTCTCCAGAGCACCTGAGGGTAGAAGAAGCAGCAATGGGTGGAAACTAATCAAGGAGAGAAGCAAGTTAGAAATAAGGAGAAATTTCCTGGGTGGAAATGAGTGGAAAAACTTGCCTCCAGAGGCTGTGAATGTTCCAACACTGGAGGTTTTTAAGAAGAGATTAGATAACCATGAGTCACAGTTTTCAAAATGTTTCTCCACCTTCTTAAGAATAAGCTGAAGAAATGCATGTGTGTCTCTGGCCATTGCATCTGTCACTAGGAACTGAGCAAAGGAGAAAAAGATGTGTGCCTTTATGAACTTTGTACTCACAATGCTTTCCAAGAACAGGCTTGTCACATTCTATGACCCAATTGCATTGACCAACATTCTTATAAATGTTTAGTCTTATTCTTAAACACTGCACTACTCAACATGTTTTCTTCATTGTCACAAGTTCTCCATCTTTTCTACAGCTGGATTTCTCATGTAAATGTTTATCGCGGCAAATAAAGAAATGCGTCAGAGCATTAAATCAGAGTATCACAGATTCTATTAGCATTCTGCACTATGTTACATATGGTAGATTTTCCCAGGATAAAAACTCGTCCTACAATTGAGGATCTCACACCTGCTTCAGCTTGTCATAATATACCCAATTAGGTTCTTTTTATATTTATAATAGTGGATTTGTGAATACCACAGGGGAAGCCTGTAGATATGAATGCAATCTATGCTTTTTCACCATTGGCATTGGCATCCTTCAGTCTCAAGAGACTATGGTATCATGCTCTGGAAAGAGGTCCTAAAACAGCATCTAGTGTGACTAAAAAGGCCAATTCGAGAGTGGCAATCCCTTCCACCCTGAGGGCAGATACATTCTGTCCCCTGCCCAGCCCCCAGATTTCGCTGGTTCCGGGACTGCCTCTTTGCCTCAGCCTGCCGAACAAGTGTCTCTTCGAATTGGAGAAGGCCATGCTGCGTCTTTAGCCTCCAAGCTGAACAATTGGAGGTCAAGGTTTCCCAGTTGTTAATGTCCATTCCCAGGGCCTTTAGGTCCCTCTTGCAGATATCCTTATATGGCAGCTGTGGTCTCCCTCTGAGGCGCTTTCCCTGCACTAATTCTCCATACAGGAGATCTTTCGGAATCCGACCATCAGCCATTCTCATGCCCAAGCCAGCATAGACGTCGTTGTTTCAATAGTGTATACATGCTAGAAATTCCAGCATGTTCCATGACTGCGCTATTTGGAACTTTGTCCTGCCAGGTGATGCTTTTTCATATACACACAGTAATTGTATAAGGACACTGCAGGGCAAGTAACAGTGATAAGAGGCAGGTGCCTCTTCTTCCTATCAGCCTTCACTTCATTTTTCACTTGACTTCTTTCATGGTCCAGTATACATAAGATACATACAGTAGTGGCCAAAATTGTGGAAATCTTTTGAGAAAAGTGGATTTTTGAGGTTTGATGGCTAAATAATACCACTTTTTTTTTTGGGGGGGGGGGGAGTTTCAAGATAATCATATTCCACTGCTGGAATGGCTTGGGAATAGCCCAGACCTTAACCCAATTGAAAATCTATGGAGCTGACTAAAGAAAATTGTTAGTCAGAAGCGACCCAGCAATAAAACCCAGTTAATAGAAGCAATCATTCAATTTTGGTTTCACATTATAACAGCAGCAGGACTAAAAGACTTGGTTCACTCCATGGGAAGATGTTGTAAGGCCATAATTCATGCTAAAGGTTACCCAACTAAGTATTAACTGTCGTGATAATTTTTGTATATCTCGCTTTTTCTATGGTGATAATTTTTGTATATCTCGTTTTTTCTATGTTTCACTTTTCTTCTTTAAACTGTAACTGCTATTCTAATGGCAAATCCTTCATAAAAGTTATTGCATTACATTCTTCATTAAATTATCTTTCCATTGATATATAATTTTATGGTACTACTCCCCAAAAAAGTGATGTTATTAGTTAGTTTTAAAAAATACACTTTTCGCAAAAGGTTTCCACAATTTTGGCCACTACTGTAGTCATGAAAGTGCTATTAACAGCTCTCTACTCAGTTTGATTTGGAGCAGTCCACTCCAAATCTGTGGGTAAGATCTGGATGAGTTCTATACTTCTGATCTATAGATCATCTATCCATCACCTTGGCAATATAAGGCCTCTCTGCATTAATGATACATCAAGATGACACAATGATACTATAAAACCATCCTTGGACTACAATCTTATACATGCCACATTCAGAATTTGGGTGTTAGAGTTAGACATTTGATGTACAACTTACAGCACTCATTTAATGTATGCTGTACAATCTTCCCTTAATAAATTGGCCAAACATTTTAGCTCAAAATTCAACATTATACAATTTCTTACAATAACACAACCTTCCAATTGATATAGTTTTTGCTATTTTAGATTTGTTTCTCCACCTGTCTCTCATTGTACTTGATTCTTGTACCTGTATCATCTCTTATATTCTTTTAAAAATATAAAATGATAACACTGAGATGGGAGAGAATGGTACTATGAATTGCTAGAGTAAAAATCGTCAAAGAATATTGAGAAGGAAGAGCATGTACTATAACCTTGAGCCTGGTGAGGCCCTGGTGTGGTCCTTCAGCAATTAGCATTCAACTGAGTTCATAAGTTATCTGATTATAGCAGGGGTGTTAAACTCAAGGCCTGCAGGCCAGATCCGGCCCTGTGGGGTGCTTAGATCTGGCCTACGTGGCCACCCTGGAAACAGCGAAGGACTGGCTACAGTGCCAGCAAAAATGGAGCTCATATATCATATGCCTCCTGCAGCCCTCTGCCAGCCCTCTGCCAGGAAAAGAAGCTCAGGAGGGCCATGCACAGCCCTTCCGAGCTCCGTTTTCACTGGCAAAGCGCTCGGGCCACCATAGGCGCCAACACAAGTAACGTTGAGTGGCCATGCCCACACTGGCCACACCCACTTGGGGCCCCCAAGGTCAAACACAACCATGATGCAGCCCTCAATGAAATTGAGTTTCATCAAACACTGGATTATAGTGTTCCATGCAGTAGCAGAAACATCACCAAGATTATATTAGTAGTTTATAATTAGAAATAAAACAATACAGCCAAAAATTATACAGAATGTCTTTTGGTCCTCTTTGCTGGAAAACCAGCAAAGTTACCATATCCCATGACTTCTGATGGATCAGCCAGGTTCCCTCTCTACCATCTCCCTCTAAGGCACCCAGATCAGTGGTGGGTTGCCCCCGGTTCGGACCAGTTCTATAGAACCAGTAGTAAAACTGGACAGAGGCTCCGCCCACCCACCCAACGTCATCAAAACGTTTCTGCGCATGTGCAGAAACTTCTGCACATATGCAGAAGAGCACACGCACACACGAGCGAAGCGAGCACACGCGGCCCCATTGCGAACCGGTAGTAAAGGTAAATAGAACCCACCCCTGACCCAGATGTACAAGCATGATTCCACCATGTTCCAATGGAGAGAGTTCACAATATGTTTGTACATGGAGTGATTTACTGAGGAAATTCTGAAAATAGGACACTCACTGAGAATTTAACTTGGCAGCCTTCCTCTCCCAGGTAACACAGATCCCCAGATACATTGGTCTCCAGCCAGAGATGTTCGCCATTTATTGCATTTTCCTGGAAGGACAGATATATACATAGATTGCTTCTCAAACAAATTGGTAGCATTGGGGTTTTTTGGATTTTGTTAATGCTATGCTTTCATAAATTAACTACTAAACACGTTTACATTGATATAAATTATTTAATTAACAAGGTGATTCAAGATTTTTTAAAAATGGCACTTATATTAAAATATAATCAGGCTAATTCTAATAATATATGTCATTAATTTTTTTAAAGAAAAGAAAATATGTTAATATTTCCATGCTGCCCAGGAATAAGTCCCATATAACACAATAGCTCTTATTTCTAAGTAAACGTACATAAACCCATGCTGTTTAAAAGACTTCCACAAATGAAAAAGAACTAGGAAACACTGATTTAATTTAATTTAATTTAATTTAATTTATCGTATTTCTATGCCACCCAACTCCCAAAGGACTCTGGGCGGTTTACAGCAAAAATAATGCGAACAATGAACATAGAAAAATTATTAAAAAAACATTATAAAAACATTTTAAAAACATTAAAAACCCATGCACACCTGATGTTTTACAGAAATTGGCTAAAAGTCTGAAGTCAACTTTAGAAATCTCTGGTCTATGTTTTGCTGCTGTTTTAACTTTTTTTTAATTCTATATTTCAAAATGCAAGGATTAAGACCCAAGACAGCTGATAATTATTCCAATCATCCAAAAGTTGCATCAAAAAATCTGTTCAGTGCATGAGGTTCATATGTGAATCTGAACCTTTTTTATTGTTTGATTGCATATTTTTTGAATTGTAAGCCGCCCAGAATCAGTGATTGCGATGGCAGCAGTGGTGGGATTCAACCGGTGTAACAACCAGTTCGCGTCACACAAGAGCGGTGCGTTTGAAAAAAGCTCTAAAACATGCCTTCTACTTCAGCCCGGTGAGTAAAACAGCTGAGGCGCAGCATCTGCTCTGCCGAACAGATCAGCTGGGCTACAACCCCAGGAAATATAGGTCAGTAGGGGCGGGCAGGCGGGCAGGCGGGCTCGCAGGGGTGGGCAGGTGAGCTCACAGGGGCAGCAGGCGGGCTCTCAGGGGCGGGCAGGCGGGCTCATCTGATCGTCAGAGAAAACCGGTTCTCTCAGCTGATCGTCAGAGATACCAATACACCCGAACCTGTGCGAACCAGCATAATCCCATCCCCGGATGGCAGCTATAGAAATTGAATGAATAGATAAATAAATAAACTTGCTGGAATACCTCTCATTCTGAAGTTTATGCAGCTACTTCATCCAGCCATCACACAATTAAACCTATTCCAAAGCTGCTTACCAGAGCCTCTAATGTGAAACTAAATAAGAATGCCTGGGTTCACACATTTCACTCAGCCACAGTGAGCTGTATAACTCCAACCAGTGTTATTTGTAAACTATGATTTAGGTTAAGCATCTAGGATGATGGTTTAATAAACCATAGTTACATATCTGCCATCTGCCATGGTAATATAGAAGATATGGAAACCAAGCTTTTGACTCCGAAGGAAAAATAGAAGTGCACATAAAATCTTGCTTTATCTAGTAGACATATAATAGTCCCAAGGATTTCATTGCATCTATCCTTTGGGGCACATTCATGATGACGTTATCAAAATGCTGGTACCTCAATTGTTCCCAAATTCATCTAAATACATACTTTCTGCTTGTCCTAATTAATATCTCAAAAGCCTCAGACAAATCATTTGTTTGCTTCAGATTCTCAAATTTGATTGATTGGTTGATGATGTGCCATCAAGTCTCTTAGGGATTCTGAGCGACCACATAATTTTTTTCCCACGATGCTCAGAAAATACTTCATAATTTACTGCCATTATAATTGGTACAAAAGAATGTGAAATGACATTTGCCTAATAGATTTTTTACTGGTGTATCAATCCCATGCTTTAGGAACCTGAAGCTCATAATTCAGAACAAATTTAAGAAGAAAAAAATAAAGCAATTCTGATACAAGCAGGGATGGGATGCTGGGGGTTCGGAAAAACCTCTAGCTAAGATTCTGTGCAGTTCAAAGAACCCCCAAATCCCACTCCTGGATGGCCCCTCCCACCCCATCCCACCCCTCCCAGGAGTCCCCACATGGCCTGTTTTGGATGCAGGATGCACACGGAAGCTCATGGAGGGTGAAAAATGGGCCTACCGGAAGTTCGGCCTCCAGAGAGCCTCCGGAGCCCAGGGAGGGCAAAAACGCCACCCCCACCGTGGTGCAAGAGGCCAAATAGGCCACGCCCACCATGACCATGCCCACCCAGCAACCGAACAGAGAACCCCTTGCTAAAATTTTTGAAGCCCACCCTTGTATACAAGCTTTCACAAGCTTTCACAAAAAATCTAGATACAGTTATATGAAATGAGAAAACCCTGTTTTGTTGTATGTGTGCATAAACATAAAACACAGAAACATATCTATCCATACATACATATGCACACACATGTGTATACATACAAATAAATACACACAAATAAACATGAATGCACTTCAAACTCTGATACATTGCACAGAACTGACATTTTGGCTTCCACTTGAAAAAAAAAATCACAAAAGATGTTTGTGCCTCCCAGCCAGATGGTATCCGATAATAAATTGCTTGCAGATCACCTGTATAGTAACCTTTTAAAACTTATTTTCAATATCCCTGATTGTTTAAACTGCTGAGTTATTAAATGCTTTCCTTCTGTCAATGGTACTTGCTAAAAGGTAACTCAGCCAAATGGCAAATTTATTAAGACTGCAAAAATACTTTAGCAGTAATAACCAAAGTCATTCCTTTTTAGTCCAACAAAAAAAATATGCAATAGAAGATTTCTGAAAAATAAGAAAGTCTGCAACTACTCTGTAACCTTGATTGAAAAAAATAATTTAGTTTTTTTTTTAAGTAACATCAACAAAATAGTTGGCTCATTGCCACTCAACTGTTCAAATCAGAAAATACCAAAGTCAACCTGTGTTGATCTCCTTCCTGTGGATTCATATTCATATTTTATAGATCTACTCATAAAACCTGTAAATTTAAAGAGATTTATATAGATTTACTTAGCTGCATAGGCTAAAAGATGTAGACTTCTTTCCTGCATGAATATTTCAAATAAAAGTAAATAGAAAATTTGCTTCTATTTTTATTTATTTGCAAACTCAATTCTGTTGAGTTTTTTTACACATTGGTCATTTGACTTCATGATTCCTAATAACCTGGCAGTTAAAAACACTAATAAAATTTAGCTTGTCCAAGTGTAGTGGCTTTTTGAGGCTTAGCTTAAGGGAAAAACAAGCAAGGACCAAAACCCTTCTCAAAACTGAAATGAGAGCTGGGGAAGCATATTAAAAGGAAGAACATGAGGAAGTCATGTCTGATCTTAGGCCCTTTATTAGAACATTTCTGTCGTATCTTTCTTGCAGAAAGCCCCAAGAAGCACAAATAAGAGTCCCTCACAAACACCAACTTGAGGAGCTAGCTTGGCTCAGAAAGGAAAACCCGCCCTAATCAACTCTATCATCACATAAAGATTGAACATGCATTTTTCCACACAAACTGATCACTGTATCACACAGGCTTGTGAGCTGTTGTTTTTCTCTTGCCAAATTTAGCTCCATCATTTGGTTTTCAATTTATTATTAAATTTACACCTTGCCATTTTCCTGAAGTAAGGACACAAGATGGCTTATAACACTAAAACAAAATGTATTATAGAATAGAATAGAATAGAATAGAATAGAATAGAATAGAATAGAATTTTTATTGGCCAAGTGTGATTGGATACACAAGGAATTTGTCTTTGGTTCATATGCTCTCAGTGTACAAAAAAGAAAAGATACATTTGTCAAGAATCATGGGGTACAACACTTAATGATAGTCATAGGGTACAAATAAGCAATCAGGAAACAATGTCAATATAAATCGTAAGAATACAAGCAACAAAATTACAGTCATACAGTCATAAATGGAAGGAGATGGGTGGTGGGAATGATGAGAAGATTAATAGTAATGCAGACTTAATAACTAGTTTGACAGTGTTGAGGGAATTATTTGTTTAGCAGAGAGATGGCGTTCGGGAAAAAATGTTCTTGTGTCTAGTTGTTCTGTTGTGCACTGTTCTATAGCATCGTTTTGAGGGTAGGAGTTGAAACAGTTTATGTCCAGGATGCGAGGAGTCTGTAAATATTTTCACAGCCCTCTTTTTGTGTTGCAATATTTTCAGGATCAGACTCAATAAAGATAATAGGAGTTAGAGCTTTAAATATATTTCTTTTTAATTATGATAGGCATTCTATATTCACTGAATATTCAAGGTAGAAGCGACGAGAATGGTGAGGGTGGCTCCTTATATATACAAGGGGTGGAGCTAGGAATGGGAGTGGTAAGTTATGAATACATTAAAGTCCAAAGAATAAGTTAACCTCTGATGTTCCATATATACATTATTTACACATTGGAGAATAAGGCATTTACATCTGACAAATCCCCCTCTAAATGCCGGTTCGTTACACAACACCAATTACATTCTGATTCAGGACAATATAATACATATAATTTAGAAGTTAAATATTTGTGTTGTTTAGAAGGTAAGGGTTTTGTTAATATGTCAGCTAATTGTTCAGAAGTATCGCAATGTATTGCTTTAATGAATCCGTCTTGAGACAGTTGTCTCACATGCTTAAACTTTATATCAATATGCCTGGACCTTTGTCCAATTGCATCGGATCTGGATATTTCAATGGCCGCTTTATTGTCTTCATGCATAATAAATGGTAAGTGGGTTTCTTCCAAACATCAGTGATCAGATCATTGAACCATACAAGGTTATTTGCAGCCTTGGACAAACAAACATATTCCGCTTCTGTAGTAGAAGTGGCTACTAGTTCTTGTTTACCAGTATACCAGTAAACTGGACAATCATTCAATAGAAAAACATAACCAGAAGTACTCTTTCTGCATGATGTATCACCAGCCCAATCTGCATCAGCATAACAAGTAATTTTTGGTTCTCTGT